CGCCCGGCCCGCGCCCGCCCGCACCATGCTCAAGTGCATCCCGCTGTGGCGCTGCAACCGGCACGTGGAGTCGGTGGACAAGCGGCACTGCTCACTGCAGGCCGTGCCCGAGGAGATCTACCGCTACAGCCGCAGCCTGGAGGAGCTGCTTCTCGACGCCAACCAGCTGCGCGAGCTGCCCAAGGTGAGCGGCCCCCGCGCTGCCGCCCCATCTCGGCGCCAGCTCGGGGTCGGCGCCAGCTCGGGGTCGGGTCGACCCCGCTCGTGCGAGCCCTCCTCAGGCGCTGGCCTGGGCGGGGCACCGCAGCTCCAACCAGCCCTGCTGGTTCTTGCCGGCCAGAGCCCCGCCCTCCTCACCCACCGCCGGCGCTGGCACCAGGTGGCAACGGTCATCAGGGGCGTAGATGGTCACTGATCTTAGAGGAGGAGCCGCAAAATGAAAGCCGTGGCGGAGGTGGATGGGGTTGGGGTGAACCTGGTCTGAGCCGTGAATACTAACTTGCCGGGCTGCTCTGGGGATGGGAGCCCAGCCTTCTCCCGGGACTGCTCTCCTCCTCCTGGGCGCTTGGGTGCTGTGGGGAGCCCTCCTAAGGTCGTTGTCCCTGACAGGTCTGCACTCAGTCCGCACCTCACTGCTGCTCTTTTGGTCAGCTTGCTTTTTTCTTCTAAGGCTGCTCTGGAGAGAAGATTAGAGGAAACGAGTCACAAAAGGATTTCCTTTCTGGAAACGGGGTGCTAAGTGGCCTGACGCCTGGGGGCTGCACGCCACAGAGGGTGTGGCCCCGCTCTGGGCTTTGACGGGAGGGCTGTCCGTCACTTCACCTCCAGGTCCCACGTTGCTCACAGCCACACTTGTGTCTGTGGTGGTCCACTGTTTTCGTTACTCTTTTTGGAGATTGTCAAGTTTTTGGTGCAGGCGTGGACTGGGCTCGTTGCTGGGGGTGTAGTAGCAGAAATCACTGTGCCCCAGAGAGCCCACCTGCCTGGTGGGTGGGGTCCTGAGGGACACACAAGGCAGGGAACGGGGACTCGTCCAGTCAGGAGGAGGTGACTTTTGAGCTATGATTTGAACACGTGAGGATAGTCACATGGCTAGATGGTGGTAGGGGACATGCCTGAAGTAATATGAAAGGAAACCGGGTGTCAGATCCAGGGAGTCGAGAGTGTAGTGAGTTGTATGTGTGTGTTTTCTTGCTCTTCTTGCCACGGGCTGGGATGATGTGGCAGGACCCCCAGTTGCTGTGAGATCTGGAGCAGGCAGAGGCCCAGAGAAGCTGTAACTTGTGAACTCGTGTCTGCTCTGGAGGGTCTCTTGGCTACAGGGCCCGTCACCTGACCCCTTTCCTGTCCACAGCCTTTTTTTCGGCTGCTGAACTTGCGCAAGCTGGGCCTGAGTGACAACGAGATCCAGCGGTTGCCCCCCGAGGTGGCCAACTTCATGCAGCTGGTGGAGCTGGATGTATCCAGGAACGGTGCGGGGCCTGGGGCGGGCCTGGAGTGGGGCCTGGAGGTGGCAGAAAGGACTCGAAGCTCTTGGAGGCTGTGGTGGGTCTCTCCATGGTGACCGCCTCCTTTCCCATCACAGACATTCCTGAGATCCCCGAGAGCATCAAGTTCTGCAAGGCCTTGGAGATCGCGGACTTCAGCGGGAACCCCTTGTCCAGGTGGGTGGGAGGCGGTAGTGGGGTGTGGGAGGTCCGGCGGTCCCAGCCCGGGTATCTGAGGTCCCCTTTCCTCTGGCGTAGGCTCCCTGAAGGCTTCACTCAGCTGCGCAGCCTGGCTCACTTGGCTCTGAATGACGTGTCCTTGCAGGCGCTGCCCGGGGACGTGGGCAAGTGAGTGTCCACTTGGGGTGGGGGGCTTGGCTTAGCCCTGCTCCTGTACCTCTTTCTCTGTCCCTGTCTGTCTCACGCCCTGCCTTGGTGTCTGTTTCAGCCTGGCCAATTTGGTGACCTTGGAGCTTCGGGAGAACCTGCTCAAGTCCCTGCCTGCGTGAGTGGGCTCAGGCCCCCCAACCAGCCGCCAGCTTGGGCTGCAGCCGTGCAGGCCTTGGGCCGTGTGGCCAGGACGAAACTTGCTCTGTTTCCTCTGCAGGTCCTTGTCTTTTCTGGTCAAGCTGGAACAGCTGGATCTGGGAGGCAATGATCTGGAAGTGCTGGTGCGGAGAGGGTGGGGCCGTTCTGGGCGGGGCTGGGCCAGGCAAGGCCGGGGAGCCTTGGCGTCCACTGTTTCTGTCTGTTCTTGCAGCCTGATACCCTGGGGGCTCTGCCCAATCTGCGAGAGCTGTGGCTGGACCGGAACCAGCTGTCGGCACTGCCCCCAGTAAGTGAGGGTGTGGCTGGCCCTGCCTTATGCTCCTCTGTTTCCTGACCCTCCGCGCCCGCCTTCAGGAGCTCGGGAACTTGCGGCGCCTGGTGTGCCTAGATGTGTCGGAGAACCGGCTAGAGGAGCTGCCCGCGGAGCTCGGCGGGCTGGTGCTGCTCACCGACCTGCTGCTCTCCCAGAACTTGCTGCAGCGGCTTCCTGACGGCATTGGTCAGCGCTGGCCTAGGCACCAGGAGGGGTGTGGCTGGCAGTGAACCCGGGCTTAGAAGAGGGTCCTGGGGCAAGGATCTGACCCCACTGGGGCTCCGGGAGACGTGCCTGAGGAAGGGGAGATTAGGCTGAGGTTTTGGGGGGAATGACCACATGAGTCTGAGAGCCTAAGGCAGTTCATTGTGGCAGAGTGGGGATGGTGAGCTTGCAAGGGCAGGTGGGCAGAGCTCATAGGGCGGCTGGCGGCTGGTCCCTGGAGCTGGGGAACACGAAGGATATGTGGTGTGGGTGGGTGTGGCGGTCAGGGTTGCCCCAGGATGGGTGGGAGGGGCGAGCACAGGTCTGGGGGCAGGGCAGGAGCTCTCAGTGATTGTTGGTTCTCCAGGGCTGCAAGAGGCAGGGAGAGGGGCAGATGGTCTCCACCCTCCACCCCACTCAGCCCTGTCGCCGCCTTTCCCGAACAACAGGTCAGTTGAAGCAGCTGTCCATCCTGAAGGTGGATCAGAACCGCCTGTGTGAGGTGACCGAGGCCATCGGGGACTGTGAGAACCTGTCTGAGCTGATCCTCACGGAAAACCTGCTGACGGTAGGGCCCAGGCTGTGGGCCCCAACCCTGGCAGGGGTTGGTTTCAGAGTTAGCGTGGGAGGCAGAGAAGATGGGGGGGCCTTGAGGCGTGCAGAGCGAGGGTAGGGGTGCTGTTGTGGGTCGGGAGCGGGACCTCTCTCTGGATGGGAGGCCCAATGGTGGGAGGTGGTTGGGGGAAGAGGAGGGAGGAACCAGAGCAGGGGGTAGAGACTGCCCTGGGGAGTCCTATCTTCCTTTTCCAAACCCCTAGCGGGCTTCTGCTGACTTCTGACTCTCCCTCCTCGGGGCCAGGCCTTGCCCCACTCGCTGGGGAAGCTGAGCAAGCTGACCAACCTCAATGTGGACCGGAACCGCCTGGAGGTACTGCCACCTGAGATTGGAGGCTGTGTAGCGCTCAGTGTGCTATCCTTGAGGGACAACCGCCTGGCTGTCCTACCACCTGAGCTCGCCCACACAGCCGAGCTGCATGTGCTGGATGTGGCAGGGAACCGGTGAGTGCCCACCCGCCCTGCCTGGCCCCTGCTGAGCTGACCGTGCCCGCCGGCCCCCACTGAGCTGACCGTGCCCGCCGGCCCCCAGGCTGCAGAGTCTGCCGTTCGCACTCACCCATCTCAACCTCAAGGCCCTGTGGCTGGCTGAGAACCAGGCACAGCCCATGCTCCGGTTCCAGACCGAGGACGACGCCCAGACTGGTGAGAAGGTGCTCACCTGCTACCTGCTGCCGCAGCAGCCCCTGCCCAGCCTCGGTAGGTTGCTGGCTGCCCGTGGCTGTGACCCAGGGGTGGGCATGGTCTCAGGCAAGGCTGGAGTCCCCTGACGCTCGCCTCCTGCAGATGACCCAGGGCAGCGAAGCAGCCCTTCAGAGAGTTGGAGCGACGCCCCGCTCAGCCGTGTCAGCGTCATCCAGTTCTTGGAGGCCCCCTTGGGTGACGAGGATGCCGAGGAGGCCACTGCCGAGAAGCGGGTATAGGGGGGTGGGGTCCCTGGGTGGGCCACCTTTTCTGCGCCCCCACCTGATCTCTGCTCTGCCCGGCCCTCATCCCTGTGTCCACTGCAGGGCCTGCAGCGTCGGGCCACACCTCATCCCAGTGAGCTCAAGGTGATGAAGAGAGGTGTTGAAGAGCGTCGGAGCGAGCCGTACTGCTGCGGGCCAGATCCCAGACCACCCTCGCCCTTGGAAGAGGTGCCTGTTGGGACCCACGGGGTGCAGGAGGGACACCAGCGTGGAGGGTTTTCTCTCAGGAGTCCTGGGCGTTTCTTTCATCCTGGGTGTGGGGTTCTGAGGGCCTGGGGTGGGCACGGGGGAGGAGATGAGCCTGGTGAGGGGGTGGGGAGGCCCAGGGCCAAGTGCACTGTGCCGTCCCACAGACCAGGGCTGCGTTGGGCAAGGGGTGCTGGGGCGGATTCAGGGGAACATGTGGCGTAGACGAGTGGGGCAGGAGTGCAGGAGGAGCCAGAGGCAGTTGTGCCCTTCGTGACACGGGGTGGAGATCTGGGTCTGTGGACTGGCATCTTCCTCAGGTGCTCACAAGCTGGCACAGGCGTTACCAGCTTCTGTGAAGGGAGCTGGGACTGTAGCTGGGCAGGTTCCACTCTGCTTGTTCAAAAGCTTTTGGCAACAGGGCTTGGGGAAGCTTCAGGGCCCCTGGGGCACAGCAGGGCATATCTGGTGGCTGGGGGACACTTGGCAGGGCCTGTGTCTGTGGCGTGGGGCTATCTACACCATGGAGCTGTTGTGGTCATTTTGGGGAGCCGTGCTCACATCCAGGTGCCTGGCCTTTCTTAGGCTGGCATCCTCCTGGGAACTCATTCAGTCTCTGTTCTTCCAATTTTTTTGGAAAGATCGTTGAGGTGCTGCACCACAGAATTGTGGTTTTGTGTGCCGAAGGTTCAGTTTGGTGGTAGTGTGGCTTCCCTGGGGGTGGGCACAGTGTAATCTTACAGCCTGACCCCACTGCTTGACCCGCCACAGGAAAAGAGGCTGAGTGCCGTGTCTGGTCTGAGTGAGGGCTCGCACCTGTCCACCAGCACGGCCTCCCAGGGTGAGCCTGAGGTCCTGCTGGCCGAGGCAGAGGGACTAAGCCAGCAGGAAGCTGCACCGGCTGCCCAGGAGGAGGCTGCAGAGGAGGCCTACGAGGAGGTGAGGCTGGCTTTGGAGGCCACTCACTCGCCCAAGGGTTGGGGCTGCTCCTTGCCCCACGCCCCTCCCAGGCAGGGGTGTGCTCAGCACCAGTCAAGGTGCAAGTGGGCCACACAGGTGGGCTCTCTTCTCTGTAGAACTCAGCACGGGCCAGGGGTGAGGGTCTCCACCCCACAGCCGTGTTCGGCGTGGTCTCTGCCCTCCCACGTTCATCTCTGCCATACGTTACCCTGCAGACCATTCCCAGACCCCAGGAGACTTTTTCCCTGGTCCTGCTCAGAGCAGCATGCGTGGGGCCGAAAGAGTGTCCTGGCCCTGGACCTCCTTGGAGCTGAGCTCTTTCGTGCCCTTCACCGGGCAGCCCCCCATCCTTATTATTCGCACAGCAGGGAGCCTCTTGGAGCCCCTGTCTGCTGCCGCCTGCTCAGCAGGGCTTTCTCGGGTGGGGGAGGGGGGGCAGGCCACTGTCCTCACGCTCAGTTGTGTGCAGCCCACAGTGCGCTTCGCAGAGGACACGCTGTTGCTGCCAGGGGAAGATGGCGAGAATGAGGAAGGGCAGTTGGAGGCTCCCTGGTCCCTGCCTGGTGGGAGACAGCGGCTCATCCGGAAGGATACACCGCACTACAAGAAGCACTTCAAGATCTCCAAGCTGCCCCAGCCCGAGGCCGTCGTGGCTCTGTTGCAGGGGACGCAGCCTGACGGCGAGGGCCCTGCTGGGCCTGGGGCTTGGCACAATGGCCCCCACACACCCTGGGCTCCTCGGGCCGAGGAGGAGGAGGAGGCCAAGGAGGAGGAGGTGGAGGAAGAGGCTGGAGAGGAGGAAGAAGAGGAGGTGGCGGTGGCAGCCGAGGCCGTGGAAGAAAAGGAAGAGGCCGTGGCCTCTGTGCCGTCTGTCAAGGTAGGTCTCACCCCACACAGTCGCCAGGACCGGGCTGTCCTGGCCCCTAGGCAGTGTCGTCACTGCTCCTCGCCAGGCCTCCAGGTCTGGGCTGGCGTTGGTCTCAGGCATCCCTTGTGGCCACTCTGGGCCGGTGTCCTGACACCAGCTGGCGAGGGAGGGGCCCATCCTCAAGGGCCACTGACTCTCTGCCATCCTCCCGGGGCTGGGCACCGACTTGGGCCCAGAGGCCCTTGCTGGCCTTGCAGCTCCATCCTGGGGGTCTGGCGGCCACCGTCTTGCTGCCTGCGCTCTTCTGCCCTCTGAGCCCTCCTGAGAGCTGGGCTTCAGACCAACCCTGGGGCCTTCATCTGTATTCTTTCTCTGATCCTCCAGTGGTTCTCATGGACCCACACAGGGTCCTGCCTGCCCCTGGGGACACCCCAGCCCCACAGTGCTCTTGTGTGTGGCACTGCTTCAGTGGGTCTGCCCTAAGTGCAGGTGTGACACCAAGACAGTCGAGGGGGCGTGGATGGTTGAATTGGGACAGCCAGGCCTGGGCTCATCTTGCTGTGGGGCCCACCCCTGACCAGCCGAGCCTGCCCCATTTGGTGGTCAGCAGCGGCAGCCACGGGTCCAGACTGGTGGGGACCCCGTGCCAGGGGGCTGTGCCAGGCCCAGGCGGGGAGGGGCCGGTGCTCAGGCTGCGGAAGCTTGGTGTGGTCTCTTCTCTCCTTTCTGCTCGTGGTGGGGCCCGGCGAGGCGGTGGCGGGGCCGGGCGGCGGCTCACCTGCATGCCCTCGCTGGTCCTGTCCTAACAGGGGGTGTCGTTTGACCAGGCCAATAACCTGCTGATAGAGCCCGCTCGCATTGAGGAAGAAGAGGTCTGTACTCGCTCGCTGCTCTGTGCCCCGGCTGCTGCTCGCCTTGCTTCCCGGGCTGCGGGCTCTTGCATCTCCTTCCCCCTTTCCTACGCAGATCCCCTCCCACAGAGGTCCTGATCCCTGCTTTAGAGTTGGGGGTCTAGGGCTGACACATCTCTGCGGGGCCTGCTGGCTCTCTGGCACAGACGCGCGAGGACAGAGTGCTGGTCTCTGGGCAGGGACAGCCTGTCTCGGCAGGGGTGCTGGGGCATTTCCCACCTTCCCACCTCTGGGGGCCATGGAGCTTTGAGGCAGCCCCGTCCACAGTCCATGGGTGGGGCCTTAGGCCTCAACACCCATGGGTGGACACCCCTTCCAGGCTGAGCTCCCTTGAGCCTGGCTGCCACACTCTGCCCCAGCAACACCCACCCTGTCCAGCTTCTCTGCTGTACCCAGGCCAGCCCTGGCAGAGGTGGTCACTGGAGAGGACTGGGCCCTCCCGCATCCCCTGCTGGGCCCACAGGCAGCCTCCGCCCCTCACGGGCCTCTCTGGACATGTGTCTCTTTTGTTTCCAGCTGATGGTCACCATCGTGCGGCAGACGGGGGGCCTGGGCATCAGCATCGCAGGTGGCAAGGGCTCCACCCCCTACAAGGGAGACGACGAGGTGAGGAGCTGCATGCCGCGGCCGCCCGCTCTGGCCAGCCATCTCGGCCAGGTCACCGCTCCCAGCACCTCTGCCTTTGTCTCTGAAGCTTTTTGTGGCTCTGAGGGTTATTGGGTAGCACCTCCAAGCTCGCCTGACTGCTCTCTTTCTTCTGGGTGCTCCACTCACTCGGGCTCCCTGCCCCTAAGGGACACACACACTGTTGGGTGCTGGGTCTGGCCCACGCAGGGCACTGAGTGCCAACCTGGACTGAGTTCGTGCAGGATTCGAGAGTTTAAAGATGATTCAGCAAGTGTGCCCCTGCCTGCAGTGCCTTTTGTGGTCAAGCATTTCCTTCCCTAATTTACCTGTGTGCTGGGTTTGGGGTCGAAAACCTTTTCTGGAGGGTGATCTGTGCCTTCTAGTTCCCTGGCATGCGGGACCCATGGCAGCCCAAGCCCAGCCCCTCTGACCACCCCAGGCCCGCTCTTTCTCTTCCCAGGCCGTTGGTCGTCTTTGCAGCCTTGGCTGGGGGTGGTCTCCTTCAGCTGGGGGCTTCTGGCCCATGCATAGCCACTGAGGGCCCATGCCCCAGAAGGGGCAGGACAGAGGCCCTCTCCACGGCCTCTGCTGTGCTCTCGGGCTCAGCTCCCTCTCATCCTCTAGGGCATATTCATCTCTCGGGTGTCCGAGGAGGGCCCTGCAGCCCGGGCAGGAGTCCGTGTGGGCGACAAGCTCCTCGAGGTGAGTCCTGGCCGCTGTGTGAGTGGGCCTCTGGCCGTGGAGATCCACACAGCCCCAGCTGTCGGGTGCTCGGCTGCCTCCCCTGCAGGAGGTGGGGGGCCCCAGCCCCTCTCCTCTGAGAGCCCCAGGTAGATGACCCTGGTGAAGTGTGGAGCCTATAAGCCAGAGTCAGGAGGTCCAGCTGTCAGCCCCCTAAGGCAGAGACTCTCCCCCTAGGCGGGAGGCCCAGAGAGGTGGGGTGCTGGCTGTGCCAGTAGCAGAGGTCTCAAGGAGGAGCCAGCCTAGAAGGTGGTCAGACCTTTAATGGGTCTGGATGGGGGGTTTGGTCCTGCCCTGGAGTCCCTGCCTGAGCACCCAGCTACCTGTCCCCACAGGTGTGTCAGGGAGCTCACTGGAGGCCGTGTGCTCACAGCTGTCACCAGGGTGGGGTCTGAGGGCAGTGTGCCCTTCCCGAAGGGTCAAGAGGGGCCAGTGGACAGGCGGCTGCAGGCCAGGCAGGTGTTCATCCAGATGGGGCTGATCCAGTACCCTAATCTCTACGGAGGAGCTGCTGCACCCTGGAGGAGGGGAGAGCCTCACCGAGTGGGGGTTAGGGTGGAGGCGCGGGACTGGAAACCTGATAACCTGGGCGTTCTCGGTTGTGGGACTGCTGGGATGAGGGGCAGGTGGCAAGGGGTCTCAGAACTGGGGACACAGGTGTGGACCAGCAGGAGGGGCATCACCTGCCTCTCGACCAACTCGTGTCCTGAACCTGGGGTGGCACAGACTTGAGGGAGCGGGTAGCAGCCCCCCAGGAGCCCTGTGGCTTATCCCCTGTTCTGTCTTCCCATGCATGGAGGGGGTGTGCGTGGAGCCTTTACGTGGCCGTGGCCTGCCCTGATGAGTGCCGTGGTCTACAGGTGAATGGTGTGGCCTTGCAGAATGCCGAGCACCACCAGGCCGTGGAGGCGCTGCGGGGCGCAGGCACAACCGTGCAGATGCGGCTGTGGCGGGAGCGCATGGTGGAGCCCGAGAACGCCGTCACTGTCACGCCTCTGCGGCCCGAGGACGACTACAACCCCCGGGAGCGGTGGGGAGGTGGCCTGCGCCTGCCCCTACTCCAGCCCGAGACCCCCGGGCCCCTCCGCCAGCGCCACGTGGCTTGCCTCGTGCGCAGCGAGAAGGGGTTGGGCTTCAGCATCGCTGGCGGGAAAGGCTCCACACCCTACCGGGCTGGTGACGGGGTGAGGCGGGTGCAGTGGCAAGCAGGGGCGGGGTGCTTCGGGTCAGAGCATAACCAGGACCAGCCACAGTAACACGTCTCCTGGCCTTGCACGGCTCTCCTCTCCTCTGCAGGGCATCTTCATCTCTCGCATCGCTGAGGGGGGTGCTGCCCACCGGGCAGGCACTCTGCAGGTCGGCGACCGTGTTCTCTCGGTAAGTGGAGGTGGAGGGGCCCACCCAGCATCCTGTTCACTGTGTTGGCCCCATGGGGCCCACTAACTGCTCACGCTCTTGTAGATCAACGGGGTGGACATGACCGAGGCCAGGCACGACCATGCTGTCTCCTTGTTGACTGCCGCCTCCCCAACCATTGCCCTGCTGTTGGAGCGGGAGGCTGGAGGGCCCCTTCCCCCCAGTCCCCCACCACACTCCCCCCCGCCCACCGTTGCTGCCACCACCACTGTGGTCACTGCCACCCCTGGGGAGCCTGGGCCACTGAGGCTGGCCCCCAGCCTGCTGGCCGCTGCCTTGGAGGGGCCGTACCCAGTGGAGGTGAGTCCCCAGCTCTCTCCCTGCCCGATGCCCTTCTTCCTCCATGTCTGCACAGTTCCAGGTGTGGGGCACTGGTCCCCCTGGGTGGGAAAGCAGGTGCCCACGCCCTCTCCAGTCAGGTCCCAGGACAGCAGGCCTTGGTTATGTGGTTGGTCTCCTCTCCCTGCAATCACTTGTGCACCCCACTATCACCTCCCCGAGGTGACCAGGAGGGTGCCCCCCCCATCCCTGTTGACCTGGCTTTAGCCTCCCTGGACCCACACACCCTCTGGGCTGGAGAAGTACCCTCTGCTGCTCTGACAAGCCTGTTTCAGCTGGCCCCTCACGGCCCTCTGTGTCCCCAGGAGATCTGCCTGCCGAGAGCTGGAGGCCCACTGGGGCTTAGCATCGTCGGAGGCTCTGACCACTCCAGCCACCCGTTTGGTGTCCAGGAGCCTGGGGTGTTCATCTCCAAGGTAGAGTGGGTGCCATAGGCATCTCTATGCAAGGGGGGCCTGGCCCGGGCACAGGGCAGCGAGGCCCCCAGCCCGCTGGATAGCGCCATCCCCCAACAGGTGCTCCCACGGGGCCTGGCTGCGCGCAGCGGCCTGCGGGTCGGTGACCGCATCCTGGCGGTGAACGGGCAGGATGTGAGGGAGGCCACGCACCAGGATGCGGTCAGCGCCCTTCTCCGGCCTTGCCTGGAGCTGGTCCTGCTCGTGCGGAGGGACCCACCGCCCCCGGGCATGCGGGAACTCTGTATCCAGAAGGCTCCTGGGGAGAAGCTCGGCATCAGCATCCGCGGGGGTGCCAAAGGCCATGCAGGGAACCCCTGCGATCCCACAGATGAGGGCATCTTCATTTCCAAGGTGAGAAGCTGCCTCAGCCAACTTTGCTCCACTGGGTCCCTCACGGTGGAGAAAGGGGGCCCAGGGGCGAGGGCCCATCCTGAGGTGCAGGGCCTGGGTCTCCCTGCAGGTGAGCCCCACGGGAGCGGCAGGGCGTGATGGCCGGCTGCGAGTGGGGCTGCGGCTACTAGAGGTGAACCAGCAGAGCCTGCTGGGCCTGACTCACGGTGAGGCCGTGCAGCTGCTGCGCAGTGTGGGCGACAACCTCACCGTGCTCGTCTGCGACGGCTTCGATACCAGCATCACCACACCCCCCGAGGTCAGTGCCCCTCCCCCCGAGGTCAGTGCTCTGCCGTGGAGACCTGGTGTTGCCCAGCATGGCCTGGCAGTGTCACGAGGAGCTGAGACTGTGTAGGCTGGGACAGCTGATGCTTTCTGCCTGCGAGCCTGGGAAGTGCTCAGCCACTTAGAGTCGGCCACGGGTGGGAGCTGTGGGGCTGGGCAGTGCCCTGCTGTGGTCTCGGCCGCCTGCTCGTGGCGTGTGGAGGCTCTGGCCCAGTAGGATGGGGCACATGAACAGACAGCATGGTCAGGTCCAAGAAGACGGCAGCATCTGTAGGGCGTGGTCCCTAGGGCAGGCCAAGGTGGCTCAGAGCTAGGCGTGTAGGCAGGCCAGGGCCCTTCAGAACTGTGCCTGCAGACATGCACAGGGGCCCCACCAAGCTTGCCCAGGTGCCGTCCTGAGACAGTGACACAGCTCACTTCTCAAGACCTTCCATCCCAGAGCAGAAGCCAGGGTGGGGCACGTGAGGGACCCAGCTGTCCCTCCTCCCAGCTCCCCAGAGGAAGTGTTGGTTGCCGGGACCAGGACTGGGCTCCCAATGCCTGGCCCGGCCCACATTCTGGACAAACCTGGCCTCTGAGGCTTGGTGTCCCTTCTGCTTGGGGGTCAGGCTGTCTCGCTCTCTCCCGTCTTCTCTACTGCTGATCCTGGGGTCCCTTGGCATAAGCTGATGTGGCTGCATCCTTTTGCGGCCCACACAAGCCTCCGAGGGCTCCTTGCTGGCACCATCTCTCGGACAGGGCAGTCACCTCGAGGTGGCCCATCTGCAATTGATCTTAGGGACAGTGACTCACTGCCCCCTGTCCCAGCACTGCCAGTGAGGGGTTGTCCCTCATTCTGCATGTTGTCTCCTGAATGGGAAAGGAGTTGGCATTGGTGTTGTTTGCTCCAGGGCTGGACGCTGGGCTGCAGGCCCTGCTCTCTGGGCTCTGGGGTCGGCCTCGTGCCCGTCTCCCTTCTTCCTCACAGGATCTGGTGGTTTCTGAGGAGGAGTTTCTCTTATGACCGAAGCCTTGGTCCATGTGGTCCCTAGAGAGGGCTTTGCCTTTTGTTTACTATTTAAAATGCATATTTAAAAGTTTTTTAGTCAATATGTTTACTTGGTTTAAAGCTTTTTATTCAAAAACAGAAAATACATACAGCTTTATGGTGAAGCGTTCAGACATCCAAAAGAGTGGGGGCTAGTGTGGCCCCAAGTCTACGGGGGGCGGTGCCCACACCTGGCTTGCTCTCTGGGCCTTGGTTCTGGCTGCCCTCACGCACTGCGTCTGGCGTTCCCTCCCTGTGTCGCTGTGGCTGTCCGGGTGTTCCCAGCGAGCTTGGGAGCCCGTCTTTGTGCTCTTGGGGGATTTTCTGCAGAAAAGAGTCCCGAGGTCTTGATGCTGGGTCAGAGCCAAGAGCCTGCCCTGCGTCCGTCCCAGCGCCCCTGCCCCCGCCCTGGGAGTGCGTCTTTGGTCTCATAACTGGCACGCGCTCTTGCACGTTGTCGGTGTCAGTCTTTGTTACGTAGGGTGCAAACGTTTGTCACTTTAACTCTTCAAGAATGGTGTCTTTGGGGTTACAGAAATGGAAGTTTTTTATGAATTAAATCTTCTAATCTTTTCTGATTTCTGGATTTTGGTTTTTGCTTAGGAAAACCTTCCCTGTTGCAAAATTGTCCAACCATTGTCCCACATTTTCTTCTTGAGCTTCCATAAGTTTTACAGAACATGTAGCTCTGTAATCCACCTGGACTTGCTCTTCAAGGGAATGAATATGCTGTCCCAACATATTACTGAGTCGTCTGTCATTTCCCCACGAATTTGGGGAAAACGTGACTCCCTGTGGGTCAGCTCCAAATTCCTTGGTGTCACAGTGTGTCCCGGGCATGCTTCTGGCTGTGGTCTGGGTGAGCTCCCGCCCGTTCCTTGGCGACGCACGCTCTTCAGTTCTGTCACTTTATGGTATGTTTTGATATCTAATTGGTCAAGTCACCCACTGTTTTTGCTTCTTTTGAAAAGTGTCAGTTTATTTCCATGTGTTTTCTCTTCCAGATGAACCTGCCAACTCTGTAACAAAATTTGGTGAGGACTTGGGGTTGGCTGTGCTTTCAGAGTCCTGTGGCTGTGTGATGAGTGTTTTCTGAGCATTCATAGGTTGCTCTTGTTTCCTTATTAATTCTAATCAAGATTTTGTTTAATCTCCCAGTGGAAGCCCTGAGGCCTGAGCGATGGCTTCGGGTCTCCCTTTCCCGCTCAGGCCCATCCTGCCCCTCTGGGACCCCTGGAGCTGTGGGAAGGGTGGAGGCGGCCGGTAGCCTTGCCTTGTGCCAACTTGAAGAGACTGTTCCATCTTGTAGTTTGATGTTTGCTGTAGTTTCTTTCATAACGTTTTTTAAATTTGGGCGGCTGCTTCATGTAAGAATTGTTACGTGAAATGAGTGTTGAGTTTCCTGAAGTCCTTTTCTGGATGGTTTTTACGTGCCTCTGCCCAGTGGACTTGAGGCTCAGCCCACAGGTCTCCTCCTGCTGGCTTGGAGCTTTAAAGAAACAGGAGCGATGTTTACACCTCAGGAGTCTTCACATCAGTGTCTGGGTTCCTGGCACCTCGGCCCTCATTCCCACAGGGCTGTCTGTGTTTCTGACCCTCCAGGGCACAGGCAGGGTGCTCACGATTCTTCACCACCCTCCATTTTTCTTCAGCTCAGCCCACTTGCCTCATCTGTGTTAACCTGTCTGACCCCTATAGGAGTCAGGGTTTGCCACCTATCTCCCTAACTTTGTTTTGATTCTGCAAACCAGGCCTGGTGTCAACTTGTGCTGGCCATTTCTCTTGCCCAGCACTCCGGACGGTGCAGGGCCAGGGCTGATGTTAGAACATGCCAGTCCTTGCTCTCTGGCTGGTGCGTCCTGGGGCTCCTGCACAGTCTTACAGACCTGGCGGCAGGTTCACACTTGCTGTAGGGCCTTGGGCAGATGCTTGACCTCTCTGTGCCTCAGTCTCCTCATCAGTGCCACGGGGTGATAGCAGTGTCTGCTTCATAGGGTTATTGAGAGGCTTACATAGAGGAAACAGCACAGCATGTGCCAGCCTTTCCATCAGCACCAAGATCCCTGGGCACGTCGGGCTGCTGAGCCGTTCCCAGAGGCCTCTCCCTTCGTTCACAGCGTGTTGGGTACCAGGCGGAGAACATCCTCTCTCCTGCGGTCACATTCCTTCTGGGTCTGTCTTCTCTTCCTCCTGATTACACTCGCCAAAGTTTTGTGTGTTTTGACAGCCTTTTTAAAGAACAGGTTTTTGGTTTTGATCGAGCCCGCCTCTCTGTCTCCGTGTTTCCTGATTTCTGCTCTGAGGAAGAATGTTCCAGTCATTCCTGCTACATCTCTTGCTTTTAATTTTTCTACAGATTTGTCTGTAAAGAAGAGATTTTCTTCATCAGCTATTGTTTTGTCCTGAAATAAGAAAATTTTACACAGGAAAGATGTGATAAATACTTGATTCTTTTCTTTCATTTGTCATTTTTTGAATTTTTAAGCTGGTACATTGGAAACCTCCAAAGACGGCTACTGAGGTGTTTTCCTGTTTCTGTTTTTAGTGTTGTTATGAAATCAGGGGATGGTATATCCTTGATGTGTTCCAGCCCATTGTGTTTTGTGCTCACGCTGTCCCCTTGATGGGCAGTGTGACCCCTGTTATTCAGTAGCATCCTTGCTCTGCCTCCTGCCAGTGGGAGTGGTGCTCAGAGTCCGTAACCGGGTGGCCTGGTGCTCAGGGCTCCTGGGCTGTCACTACTTGTGGGCTCTGCAGCACATGGAGCCTGGGAAGTGGGTATTTTTATTTTATTTATTTATTTATTTATTTTGTGAGGAAGATCAGCCCTGAGCCAACATCCATGCCAATCCTCCTCTTTTTGCTGAGGAAGACTGGCCCTGGGCTAACATCTGTGCCCATCTTCCTCTACTTTATATGGGACACTGCCCCAGCATGGCCTGACAGGCGGTGTGTCGGTGCGCGCCCGGGATCCGAACCGGCAAACCCTGCCCCACCAGCAGCAGAGCACGCACACTTAACCACTACACCATGGGGCTGGCCCTGGCACGTGGGTATTTTTAGAAAGAAAAACATCATGAGTTTATACTGTTATTTTCAATTCATATTTAAGGTTACAATGTTTTTATTAACTTTTTTTATATTTGTGTTTCTTTTTCTCATACTGAAAATTGTTTTTAAATAATATTACTATGATTACTTAATACTTTTAAAATGCAATACCAACATCATTACCAATAACAAGACCATTGAAAGCAATTTCAGATTTCTTTATGTCCTTAGGATTTATCCAACTAGGCCGTACAATCAAAATACTGTGTTTCTAAGTCATTTGAAATAATTCTTCGTATCGTAATGCTGCCAACTTGATATACAGTTAGGCTGACTTGTTTTCAGTTTTTAGGGATGACTTTAAAAAATCAGTTTTTTTATTAGTGTAAACTTGTACGTGGTCCCAAAGCCAAAACCACACACATGGGCTTTTGAGGAGTCTGACTTCCATCTCTGTGCCTCTGCAGGCTACCATTTGTATTCATTTTGGTTTATCCTGCCATTGTTTCTTTTGGAAAAATATAAGCAAATACATAAAATAATCTTAAATTTGGGGAAAAGTGGGAAGAACAGTCCACTGACCCTCTCACTCGGGCCGTGCGTGTCTCACTGCTGTCCCAGGATGTCCTTTATAGCAGGGGCACGGCCCAGGGTTGTGCATGGCATCCCCTGACTCTGACCTCGAACTTCTGATGAGCACAGGCCATCACTGTGTAGGACGTCCCTCACTGCAGGATGTCTCAGTTGATAGGTTTTTGGGAGGATTATCACAGAAGTGACCTTGTCTTGTCTGGGCCTCCCACCAGGACACACGGATGGCAGTTTGTCCCATTACTGGTGATCTCCACGTTGGCGTCCCCAGTCTTTCCCACTGCAAAGTGACTCTTTCCCCTTCGAAATTAACAAGTATTTTGTGGGGAGGCACTTAGAGTGTATGAATGTCCCATTCCTTGTCAGATCTTCACCCACCGGCTCGGGCGCCCAGTCACGTTTCTCACATTAGGACCGTGGTGGGTGCTGCATGATGTTCTCGCCCCATTGTTCTTTCTGCTTTCATCAGCCGGCTTTCTGCTGTGGGGAGGAGCTTGCCCTCCCTTGCGGTTATGTGTTCAGCCACTTACCCGGTCGTGGAGACTCGCCAGTTTCATTTTATTTCACAGGTGATACTTTGTCACTTTTTATGTTGATTTTGACGCTCAAGTTGCCCCAGGCCTGGCTGATGAAAGGGGCTTCTGCTGGCCCTGGCCCCTCTGAACACGACCCCACCTTCTTTGACTTTGACTTCCCATGACTTTCTGGCACAACGGGGTGTCCTGGGCTCATCTCCTGCTTCCCCGCCCTGCCCTGGAGTCGCACTTCTCCAAGGAGCCCTGCTTTCTTTTAGTGGAAAGTAGTATTTAGACACCAAGATCTGGGTCTGGGTGTGCTCGTGGCCGTTGGGGTGTCATGCTCTGGGGACCTCTCGGTGGCTGGGATCCTGCGTGTGCCTCTGTGTGCACATCTGTGTCTGCGAGTATCTTGGTACCTGGAAGAGTGCGTGGTGCCTTTCTCCCTCATCCCGCTCAGCGCCACAGGGCAGCCCCTGAGCTCTGAATGGCTGCCTCCGAGGTGAGAAACCAGGCAGTGGCGGCGGCGCCACTAGTCCTTCCCACCCAGTCCCTCCCTGTGCGGCCATCCCCCCTCTGCAGGCCCCCTGCTCCCGCACCTGCCCCGTGGCTGTGACTCAGTACTTTTGAAGTTAAGAGGGTAGGCTCCTGAGTTTTGTTGTTAAATCTACAAGCTTCATCAGAACCTGAGTCGTATTTCAGTCTCCCGCTAGATCTCTGGATCAAGCCCTCAGGTTTCCAGTCATCTTTGTGTCCCGTGTTTAGCTGCTCACTGTGTAGGGCCTGAGGTTTACGGTCATCGTATCTGCCTCCTGATGGCGCCTTCTGTTGTGACACAGCGTCCCTCTGCCTGCTCGGTGCTCGCGACCTTGAGTTCTGTCTTCTCTGCTGTGACCGTTTCCTCTCCTTGCACTCTCTGGGGCTGTCTCTCTGCCCTTCTCTTTATTTATCATTTCAGTTGGGTTTTTGAAACAATAATGTAGCTGGGCCCACACTGCCCATGCCCTTCTGTCACGAGGGCGTTTTCTAGGCCTGTGTGTCACTGTGCCGCCCCCTCCTCTGGTTCCTGCTGTTGGTCGAGGCCAAGCAGCCCCTTTTCTCTCTCAGGGGTTGGGGGGTGGGGTCGGAAGTGAGCAATTCCCGTGTCCCTGCCGCCTGTGTTTGCCCTCAGTGCTGGCAGAAAAGCACATTCCGTGGCTCCGCCCTCCCAGTGCCCCCGCCATGGCTGCCTCCTTCCTCCTGTCTGCCCTGCCTGCCAGTCACCAGGCTGAGATGCTTTAGTTCTTTTCGAGACAGAGCTAGTGGGGTTTTCTCTTGCAGTGTCCTTTGTGTCAGAATCCCTTTAGGTGCCCGCATTGCAGGTTCCAGAGGCAGCCTGTGGTCTGCAAGCATCTCTGTGACACTAGGCGCATCGCTGCCCACTGCCCCCACCCCCGGGGTTGTCAGTTCTCTGCTCCCCGTGGTGAGTGCACACGGTCAGCCTGCCCTGCCCCTACCCCGAGCAGCAGGGCCCAGCATGGCTGCCTCAGAATCCTGTCAGAACAGCCTCTGCTGCCCGTGATGTGCAGACGTCACCCGTGGCCACCCCACGTCTTAGACAGGGTGATGGCACAGTGTCCTGGGTGACCAGCCATGTGGTCTCTGGCGCATCCTGGGCCAGGATTCCGGTCTGCCCCTGGAGCAGGACCTCGAGACCGGGGTCCCCCCTTAGCCCACTCCCCTCCTCAGGTGTCCCCGGGCATCATTGCCAACCCCTTTGCGGCAGGCATCGGCCGCCGGAACAGCCTGGAAAGCATCTCCTCCATTGACCGGGAGCTGAGCCCTGAGAGCCCCGCCAAGGTGAGAGCCGCCCACGGCTGGGAGCCCAAGGGCCAGGAAGCCTGAGGCCAGCGGTCCCTGACATGTCTGCTCTGCCCACAGGAGAAGGAGCTGCCTGGACAGGCCTTGCATTGGGGGCCGGAGGCCACAGTGAGTGTCTGGGTCCTCCCTGCCTGCTCACTAGGCTTCTCTCCACGAGGGCCTGTGGCTCTTCGCTCTGGCTGCTCCCTCCCTGCTGGGGCACTGCAGGGGTGGATAGGTCCCAGACCCCTACCACCCACTCCATACCCCTCGTAGCTGCCCGCCCCACGCTCGGTCACAGACATCTTGTAGCACTGTGTCCACTCTGCTCCTCAGGGTCGGAGCCCAGAGAGCCTGAAGCTGGACTACCGCGCTCTGGCCGCCATGCCTGGCAGTGTGCAGAGGGTCAGTGTCTCTGAGTCGCACCCCTGGCCTGGCTTCTGTCTACCTGTCCTGTTCCTGCCTTAGCTTCCTTCCTTCACCTGAGACCCCACAGGACAGAGCTCCCGGGTGGGCACCGCCATGGAGGGTCCTCATCTGGGGTGGGGGCAGGGGTGGGGATTGGAGGAGGCCGAGTTGGGGCCTGCAGGGGTGGACTGGTCAAGGGTTCCCACACTGGAACTCCATCTCCCAGCCTGGCATGTTTCTTGTCCCCCTTAATCCTTGAACCAAGCCATGAGGTAGGTGCTGAGGATGCGAGGCTCAGAGCGGGTAGGCTGGCTGGCTCTTGTGAAGGCCCTTGGCCCCGGCCCCCTCTGTGCCTTGTCCTCGGACTCACTGAGCAGGCTGAGTGTGGGGGAGCCCGGGCCCAGCCCACTGCAGGCAGAGGGAGCTAGGTGGCCCCAGAGGGCTGGGGGCAGGGGCAGGTGGAGGCCACCAGAGCCATCAGGGGGTCCTGGTGGGATTGGGCACAAGCCGCCCTGGAGAGGACAGGCTGGAGCAGCTGCGAGGAGCCACAGACACCAGGGTTGAGGGGAGAGGCCCAGCACTGACAGCTGGGCTGGGGGGCAGACGCTGGGCACGATGGACATTCAGTCCTCATTCCTCCCTGGAGAGAGATAAATAACCCTCCCAGAGGGTGTGTCCACCAGCCACCACTGGGAGACCCTGCAGGATCGTGAGTGGTTGAGGGGTGGGCTCCAGGAGGTGCTGACATTTCCGAGCAGAGGGAGGTCGTGCTGGGTGAGGGCCTTGGAGGAGCAGGAGGCGGTGAGGGGCCAGAAGGGGCCTGGGGGCTGAGGGAACCCACTCAGGGGCCTCAGTGTAGACCCTCCCTCGGCGGTGAACAGCCGAGAGTAGGAAGCCCCCAGGAGCGGTAGGGGCCCAGTGTCCTCTGACCAAAAAGGGACACAGCTGTGGGGTGGCTGGCGAGTTGGGACCCCCCTGGTCGTACACCTTTGAGGTGCATGGGGAGGGTGGTAGGGGCCTGCCTGTGGAGCAGCCAGCCCCGCTGTGGGTAGAGCCTACTGGCCCAGCTGCTCCCTGGCATCTTGGCAGCAGGCAGTGGGCAGGGGCCTCAGCCCGGAGCCCTGAGAGCTCCCCATCGCTGTCTCTGTCCCTGGGCCTTCCCCTACGCAGTTCTCACTCTGTCCTGTCTCGTCTTGGTCTGTCTGTCTGTCTCCATCTCTCCCTCCAAGCTCCAGGCTGCCCCCACGGCAGCAGCCCACTGCCATGGACAGACGCCTGGCTGCTCAGCCCAGGCTAGGGGGAAGAGCAGAGGCTGAAGGCCAGGCCCACACCCCAGGCCTCCCTCCTGTCCTCCCGGCATTGTAGGGGGAGGGGGAGAGCCTGGTGGACTCCAGGCCACAGCATTTTGGGGAGAACCCTTTTGTGCTGGCCGAGTGGGCATCCAGGCCCATCTGGGGACATCCCCTGGGCTGTGGTCGGGTTGGGGAGCCGAGGACCAGCCTCTGTGCTGCCAAGGCAAGCACCCCATCCCCCAACTTCTCCTCCTTATGGGGCCCTCACCCTACGCACCGCCCGGCTCCTCCAGGTACCATCTGGGATGACAGGAGGGAAGATGGCCGAGGCTCCTCGATCCCCCAGCTGCCAGCAGGTGAGCACCCACTGGGTGGGGGTGGAGAACAGTGCAGAGGGGTGCCAGTGTGCAGTGCCCCCTCTACCGGGGAGGTGGTGCCAGCGAACAGCACCTCCCCCCAGCTTCCGCCCATCACTCTGTGAGGGCACAGCCTGTGGGCACCTTCCTGGCCAGAGCTGGCTGGCAGTGGGGGCAGGGAGCTCCTTGTGGCTCCTCTGGGCAGACAAGGCTGGGTGGTCAAGGTGACCTCACCTCTGTCCATCGTCTTGTCTGTGAGTCCCTGGGGGCCAGCCCGGCCCGGTCCCCACAACCTGTCTGCTGAGGCTCCCTGGTTCCGCTGCACGGGGAGGGCCAGGCCATGGGCCCCTGCCTCCTTCACTGCACTGCGTGGGGGGGTAGGCACCAGCAGTGCCCAGCTCCCGGCCTCTGGTCCTTCCAGGCAGACGGGTGAGTGTTGGCCCCATGCCCTGGGCAGCCACCCCAGCCACCCACCTTGGCTCCATCTCTCTCTCTCTCTGTTTCCCCCCATCCCCTTACCTGAACCCCTGATCCCTCCCTCTGGACCCCGCCCCTGCCCTTTGCAGACAAAACCCGGGGTGATCCAGCCACTGGCTCAGGCCTGGCCAAGGGGCTCCCCGGCACCCAGGGGCAGAGGTGATCCCTGCTGTGTGAGTGCCCTGCGGTGGGTGGGGGTTGGAGGCAGTTGGGGACAGCTGGTGGCTGGGTGGGTGGTGGCTGCAGCCAGGACAGCTGTCCCAGCATAGCTCACATGTGCCCCGCCCCCCAGCCCCCCTCCCCCCCCTCCCCTGACGAGCTGCCCACCAGTGTGAAGCAGGCCTACAGGACCTTCGCTGCCGTGCCCGGCCCGCACCCGGCCCAGGACGCCCCTGCCCAGGTAGGTGGGAGGCGCCCGCCTTACTCTGCTGCATGCACCCGTGGTGTGCGCCCAGAGGGGCCAGATCTCAGGGCCCGCTCCCCCTAGTCCCCTGCACCTGGGCTGGCCGCCTCCCCGGAGCAGCTGACCTTCCGCGAGCGGCAGAAGTACTTTGAGCTGGAGGTGCGGGTGCCCCAGGCTGAGGGCCGCCCCAAGCGCGTGTCACTGGTGGGTGCTGACGACCTGCGGAAGATGCAGGAGGAGGAAGGTAAGCCGCTGGCTGGCTGGCAGGCGGGTGGTGAGGGCCAGGCCTGCAGCCTGACCTCCCCTTCCCTGCCTCAGCCCGAAAGCTGCAGCAGAAGAGGGCACAGATGCTGCAGGAGGCTGCGGACGCAGGGCTCACCCTGGACTCCCTGGACGGGGAGGCCCCCGATGACGATGAGCCAGAGGAGGAACCGCCCTGGGCGGGCCCAGGCCCTGCCACGGGGTAAGGGGGTGTGGGGGTGCAGGCGGGCACCCATTGTCTCTCCAGGCACCCCCTCTCACCAGCACCCCGCCCACCTGGCCCTCCTGTCCTGTCCTAGGCTCGGCCCTGCGTCCCCTGCACCCCTGGGAGGCAGTGCCCCGGTGCGGACGGCCAAAGCTGAGCGGCGCCATCAGGAGCGGCTGCGCGTGCAGAGCCCCGAGCTCCCCATGCCCGAGCGGGCCCTGTCCCCAGCCGAGCGCCGTGCCCTGGAGGCCGAGAAGCGCGCACTATGGAGGGCGGCCAGGTAAGGCTCTGGTGCCCTGCCCACCTGGGGCTGCCCCCGCCCACTGGGCCCACCCTGCCCACACGGCCGCCTGCGCCCGGTGGGCCCTGCCAGCCCCACCTTCCCTTCGGCTCCCCTGCAGGATGAAGTCCCTGGAGCAGGATGCCCTCCGTGCACAGATGGTCCTCAGCAAGTCCCAGGAGGGCCGGAGCAAGCGTGGGCCCCTGGAGCGGCTCGCTGAAGCCCCCTCGCCCGCGCCTACTCCATCACCCACCCCTTTGGAAGGTCCGTGTGTCCAGGGGGAGGTGGGGGGGCCTCAGCCTGTGGGGCCAACATCTCCCAACGCCCACTTCTTGTCCACCTAGATCTTGGCCCCCAGACCAGCACCTCCCCTGGACGCCTGGTGAGGACCCAGCACCTGTCTCCATTCTGTTCATCCCTCCATGTGGGTGGGGCGGGGATCAGACTGCAGCCCCCCTCACTCCTCTTCTTGCTCTCTGCCTCTCTTCCTTCACGCTCTCCTCTAAGGCCTTGTCTGGGAGGAAGTTTGACTACAGGGTGTTTGCAGCCCTGCCTTCTTCCAGACCTGTCTATGACATGCAGGTACCGGGCCCTCCCGGCCCTTCTGCAGGACAGCCCCACACGGCTCCTGCCACCTTTCTGCCTGTGCCTGTCATCCAGCCTGTCCCCTCATCCAGCACCTTCCCTGTCTGTCACCCGTCCTGTTCCTTGGGGGTGAGGCCTCCCCACCCACCTCCCATCCCTCAGCCAGGGCTGGCAAGGACCCCACCAAGGCTCACTCCAGGGGTTTCAGGCATGTCTGGGGCGGAGCACTGACCCAACCCTTCTCCCCAACACAGTCCCCAGATTTTGCTGAGGAGCTGAGGTCCTTGGAACCATCTCCCAGCCCCGGTGAGTTGGCAGGCCAGTCCTGGGGGTGCTGCAGGGTGCCTGGCCCACTCCCTCTCCCCCTTCACTCCATTGCCTCTGCCCGCCAGGCCTGCAGGAGGAGGACGGAGAGGTGGCCATGGTGCTGCTGGGCAGGCCCTCACCAGGCGCCCTGGGCCCCGAGGAGGTGACACTGTGCAGCAGCCGCCGCCCCATGCGGCCAGGGCGCCGCGGCCTGGGCCCGGTCCCCTCCTAGAGGGCTGGGGTACCTCCCCCCGACTTGGGGTGGGGGCCCTGCCAGCTCCACCGCCATCCTCGCCCCGAGTCTTTTAACCTGGGTGTTAGCGTTTTAAAGAGACCCCTCAGGAGTTCTGGCCGCCAACTAACTGCCGCTCCCCAGCCGGGACCTCTTGGCAAGACTGTAACTAGTGACGTTTGTACAACCAAAGACTCTATTTTGTGGTTTAAGGAGAATAAAATTGACTACGTTTTACCTGCCGCTTGTCTGTACCGCCCCCCGCCCCGCCCCGCCCCCAGCATATGCTGCTCCACATTGGGGGAACTGGTTGGGCTGCCTATCGCCAGGCAGGGACCACCCCCAAGTGCCTGCAAACCAGTGTCCTCCAGCTGGGGCTCCCGCCTGGCCTGGACATGGACACGCACAGTCAGCCTTCTCCCTGCACAGACGCGCACAGTCGCGGTCCAGTGGGTCCGGGCACCAGAGGCCTTGGCTGGGCAGCTGCGTGCGCCAGGAAGCAGGACCTGCGCTGCTCAGCCGGTGCCCACCAAACCTTGGTGACAAAGAAGAGGCAGAAGGGCCCCAGGCGCGCCTCTGGACCTGGGTGGGGCGATCCTCGGCCATGGGTGGGTGGGCTAGAGCTGCAACAGGCACCTCTTCTACTCTGGCGGCCCACGGCTTGGCAGCTTCTGCACCAGGTCCCACCGCAGCGCCGGGAACAGATCCACCCCGCACAGGTCGCACACCACTGGCTTCCGGTACCTGCGTGGTGGCTGGAGGGGGTACAGGGCAGGGTGGGGGCAGGGGTGCCGGGCATACCCCGCCTTCTGTCTCCTCCTGACAGAAGGAGGAGACAGACCTGAGTGCCTCCAGCAGCGCCAGCTGAACCCTCTCCCGCCGTGGGTAGGCCGGCTTCACCGTGTCCACTTAGTCCGGAGCCTGCAGGGGCCTCCCTGCCTGTCTCCACCTCCCGGCACCAGGCTCCTCCTCCCCAGCTCCCCGTCCCAGCTCAGCTCCTCTCTGGTGGCTGCTCACTTCTTTGTGACAGCCAGGTCAGAGGACATCCTTTCTGGTTCCCCCAACACCAGCCACACCAGTCGGCCTCCATGTTCTGGAGCATGGCCTCCATGAGGCTCAGGTCCCACGACTGCAGCGCACTGGCCACTGTGTCCAGCGAGGCCACCTAGTGAGAGACGACACTGGTCAGGGGGAGGGCGTGTGTTCTGTGTCCTGCTTAACCAGAGAGGAAGTTCTGCTTCTCTTGCATTTTAGAGAAAAGAGCACCAACTCCGGGAACACGGCCCTCACTGCTCTCCAGTGATGGGCCCAGCAGTGTTGACCATCATGGTGCAGCCCCCCCGCCAAAACTGAGACACCCGAGGGCCCTCGGTCTCCCTGCTAGGACCCAACAGGGCCTCCACGGCCCCTTCCCCGCCACCCCCCCTCCACACCCCGTCTGCCAGCCCCCGGGCTCCCAGCTTGCCTCTGTAGCACCCACAGGGGCCAGCCTGCAGCTCCTTTGTTGTCTCTCTACAGACCTCCCACTTGGGACCACCCTCGCCCCAAAACTCCCCTAGCAGCAGCCCCTCACCACTGGCCTCCTCTGAAGTCCCACCCCACTCCAGGAGTGATAAAGGGGCCCAGAAGGCGGGGTTCTCTGGGTGGAGAGATGGGGTTCTGGCAATATTTTATTTCTTGACTCAGGTGGTTACTCCATGAGTATTTCCTTTGTGGTCAGTCAAGCCACACAACTTTCATTTGTGCTGTTTGGTATGTGGTTTGTATTTTACAAAAAAAGAGTCCCAAGACGTGTAAGATGAAGGAGTGGATTAATGACTGGATGGGCAGACAAATGAGAGAGGGGTGGATGGATGACTTAGATGTATGGAAGAGTGAGTGAATGAATTAATAAAGAAATTGTGAATACTTAGTTAAAAGAATGATAGCTATCATTTATAGAGCACTGACTATGTGCCAGGAATTGTGCTAAGGAATTTCATTCATTATTTTTTTAATCTTCAAAAAATAGGGACTGCTATTAGCCCCATTTGTGGATATATGGAAACAGATTCAAATAAGTTTAAGAATTTGCCAAAGGTTAGTTTGTAAGTAGAAGAACTACAATAAATGGAAAACTAAATGAGTGAACAGATGAAATAAAATAGTGTAATGAATGAATTTATGAATGAGCTAATGAATAAATGAATGATGAGTAGATGAATAAATTAACTGATAAAAGAATGAAGTAATGAACTAATGCAATGAACTAATGAATTGATGCATGAACAAAATTAATAGCTGAAGGGATTTAATGGATGGATAAATTAGATAAGTAGGTGGTTGGTTGAGAAAAGGGATAGATGAATTGATAGATGAGTTCAGCCATTCAGCACAATTTGAGTGTCTTTCATGTGACAACCAAAATGTCTGTTATTGGAGGATACAGTTGTGGCGTGAACTAAACGTGGTCCTTTCTTTCTCTGAATTTTCTTTCAGGTAAACAGTATGAATGTGTGTATGGTGGATGTTTGAATTAATAGTAGATAAATAAATGAATAAATGAGGGGTGATTTAAAATGGAGGATACAGTAATGAGTGGATAGACTGGTAAGTTTATGAACCAATGACTCATAAGTTAATGAGAGAATGTATGAACTGATGAAAGAGTAAATCAACTACTGGGGAAAAATATTGGATGAATGGATAAATTTATGGAAACAATGATAGATGGACAGATGAATGATAAATGGATGGATGGATGATGGTTGATAGTTATTTAATTCTACATCATTACTGATTTTCTGTCTACTTGTTTCACCAATTATTGAGATAGGGATGTTGAAATCTGCTACAGTAATTGTGGATTTATTTCTCCTTGTAGTTCTATCAGGTTTTGCTTCATGTATTTTGAAGCTCTGTTAGCAGCTGCATAAACATTTAGGATTCTTATGTTCTCTTGTTGAATTGATCCTTTTGTCATTATGAAATGATTCTTTTATCCCTAGTAATATTCTTTGTTCTGAAATCTACTTTTCCTGATGTTACATAGCCACTTCAGCTTTCTTATGTTTAGAGTTATCCTGGCCTATTTGTTTCCATCCTTGTAATTTTCACCTATTCGTGTCTTTACATTTAAAGTTTGTTTCTTACAGGCAGAGGATAGGTGGATGTTTTTTTAAATCCAAAATGACATTTTAGGGCCGGCCCCGTGGCTTAGCGGTTAAGTGCGTGCATTCTGCTACTGGCGCCCCAGGTTCGGATCCCGGGCGCGCACCGACGCACCGCTCCTCCAGCCATGCTGATGCCACGTCCCACATACAACAACTAGAAGGATGTGCAACTATGACGTACAACTATCTACTGGGGCTTTGGGGAAAAAAAGGGAGGAGAATTGGCAATAGATGTTAGCTCAGAGCCGGTCTTCCTCAGCAAGGGGAGGAGGATTGGCATGGATGTTAGCTCGGGGCTGATCTTCCTCACAAAAAAAAAAAAAAAAAGTGACACCCTATGCCTTATAACTGAGGTGTTTAGACTACCTACATCTAATGAGGTTCCTGATGCAGTCAAGTTCAAAACTGCCATTTGCTGCTGCTTTTCTGCTGGTCCCATTGGTTCTTTATTTTCCTTTTCCTCTTTTCCTGCCTCCTTTTGGATTGCATAGTTTTTAAAATTCCATTTTGTCTCCTTTGTTGACTTATTAGCTATAACTCTTTTGATATTTTAGTAGTTGTTTTAGGGTTTACAGTATGCATCTGTAGCTTATCACAACCTACCTTCAAGTGACATTACCCACTGCACGTGGAGTGGAAGAACCTAAACCATCTACTTCTACTCCCCCTCCCAAACTTGATATTTTTGTCACACACTTGAGCCAAATAACGATAATTTGTGCAATGTTCAATATGTGCATCTACATATGTTATAAAACCCCATAAGACATCACCATTATTTTTGTTCCTTGTTTCTTCAATTATCTTTTCAATAAATTTAAATAATGACACTTTCTTGTATATTTATCTGTGTAGTTACTGTGTGTAGTGCCCCTCGCTCCTTTGTGTGGTCCCGTACTTCCATCTGCTGTCCCTTTCCTTCTGCCTGTAGGACTTCCATTCACATGTGTGCGTGTGTGTGAGGAAGACTGGCCCTGAGCTAACATCTGTTGCCAATCTACCTCTATTTTGTATGTGGCACACCGCCACAGCACAGCTAAATGAGTGGTGTGTAGATCCGCACCCGGGATCGGAACCCACAAACCCCGGGCCACCAAAGTGGAGCACTCAAACTTAACCACTATGCCACCGGACCAGCCCGCATTCACATTTCTTTTGTATGTCTGGAAAGGTCTTTATTTTGCCTTCAGTTTTGAAAGATATTTGCACTGGGTATAGAATTCAAAGTTGACAAGGTTTTTTTTTTTCCTTCAGCACTTTAAAGATGTTGCTCCTCTGTCTCCTCACTTGCATTGTTTCTGATAAAAAATCTGCCATCTCCTTATCTTAGTGCTTCTGTTTATAACGTGTCTTTTTCCACTGGCTGCTTTTAAGATTTTCTCTTTATCACTGGCTTTAAGAAATTTTATCCTACTGTGCCTTTGCATGATTTTCCTTCCTGTTTCTTGTGCTTGGGGTTTGTTGAGCTTTTAGGAATGTGGTTTCTATTTTTCATCGAATTTGGAAATTATACGGTCATTATTTCTTCATATATTTTTTTCTGTTTCTCTTCTTTCTTTCCTCCTTTGGAGACTCCAATTCCTTATATCTTAGGCTTGTTGTTGTCCTGCATCTCACTGATCCTCTTTTCATTTAGAGGGATTTTATTTTGGGTAGTTTCTATCGTTAAGTCTTCAAATTCACTAATCTTTACCTCTGCAATATCTAATCTGCATTAATCCCATCCAGAGTTGTGTTTTTTGTTTTTTATCTCAGACACTGTAGTTTTTATCTCTAGAATTTAAGTTTGGGTCTTTTTAATATCTTCCATGTCCCTACTCAATTTTTTGAGCATCTGGAATACAGTTATAACAGCTATTTAAATGTCTTTATATGCTAATTCCAACATCTGTGTCAGTTCTGGGTTTGTTTTGATTGGTTGACTTTATTATGCTCATATTTTTATACTTCTTTGCATGTCTGGTAATCTTTCATTGGTCGCCAGACAGTGTGCATTTTGCCTTCTTAGGAGCTGTATGTTTTTTGTATCTCTTTAAGTATTCTTGAATTTCATTCTGGGATACTATTAAATTTCTCAGAAATTTT